GGAGAGCAGTGGCAGTGGGGCCCCTGAGGAACGGCCACGGGAAAATGGAGATGCCCTGTCTCGGGATGTGTCCTTGGGCTCCCTTCCAGGCTCTTCTGCCCAGCCTCACAAAGGTGAGTGGGGCATCCCCAGCTGCCATTTCCCCTGGGTCAGCAGCCTTAGGCTTCACAGTACCCTCTGATTCTGGGGCTTTCTGAGGCACCACTGTTCCTCCCACCTGCATCTCATCGTGCTGCCTTCCTGGCTCCCAGGCATCCTCAAGAAGAAGTGTCTTCCCACCATCAGTGAGAAGAGCAGCCTCCTGAGGCTTCCCCTGGAGCACGGCACGGGCTCTTCTCGGGGTTCTTCAGCCAGCGAAGGCAGCCGGGGTGGGCTCCCTCCCCGCCCACCTCCCCGGCAGAGTCTGCAGGAACAGCTGAACGGTGTAATGCCCATCGCCATGAGCATCAAGGCAGGCACGGTGGATGAGGACTCTTCAGGCTCCGAGTGAGTGGGCCAGGAGGGTGGGACAGGGTGCCACTGCAGAGGTCCCAGCTGGGGAAGAGCTGCTTCTGCACCTCCCCCGGCTAGCTGGTTGACAGCCAGAGGACGTATGGGCTGAGCATGGCCCAGTTTCCTAAGTGTCCCATGGTGACCCGGGGGTGGTGGCAGTCCCCCCTGGGCTTTATACGGTGCAGCCCAGCCCAGGGCAGCAGCGCAAGGGTGGAGGGGAGCTGGGGCTGCTTTTCTGTTTCTTCCTTCTGGTGAAACTTCTGTCTCCTGCTCCAGCTAACCCTCTGTCTGCCTTCTCTGCCACTCTCCTTTCCTGCCTCTCCAGATTTCTCTTCTTTAACTTCCTGCATTAACCCTGGGCCGGTGGTTCCTTCGTCCCGAGGCTCCCTTCCCCTCCCCAGCTGCACTCATGCCCCCACTCCTGTCTTGTGCTTTATCCTGCCCCTGCTCCCCACCGCCTGCCCGCAGCAGCGACGAAACGTCCATCTGAGGAGCCTGGGCCTTGCACCTAAGGCCATCTAGTGCCAACTCCCTTCCCCACCATTCCCCTCACTGCACTTTGGACCCCTGGGGCCAACATCTCCAAGACAAAGTTTTTCAGAAAAGAGGAAAAAAAGAATTTAAAAAGGATCTCCACTCTTCATGACTTCAGGGATTAATTTTTTTTATACGCTGGAAACTGACTCCCCTTTCCCTTCCCAAAGAGGATAGGACCTCCCAGGATGCTTCCCAGCCTCTCCTCAGTTTCCCATCTGCTGTGCCTCTGGGAGGAGAGGGACTCTTAGGGGGCCTGCCCCTCATTTGCCATCACCAAAAGGAAAGGACAAAGCCACACGCACCTGGGGTGTCAGACCCTGCAGGCTGCACCGGGCAGGCCTCAGTTGGTGAGGGGTCAGGGCAAAGGGCGTTCCTTATCCGCCCGTTGCTGCCTCTCCCAGGAACTGAAAAAGCCCTGTCCGGCCAGGGGCAGAAGGACTCATCGCCCCTGGACCCCCAAATGCTGCATGAACACGTTTTAAGGGGAGCCTGCGTCCCCAGGCGGGGGCCGGCTGCCGCAGCCCCTCTCCTTTTCCTGGACTCTGGCCACGTGCTGTAGCCCAGGTGTTTGCTCAGTTTGCTGACCCCAAAGTGCTTCATTTTTCCTGCCTGACCCTTGACCCGCACCTGGGGAAGGCCAGTCGTGTGTTAAGTTGCGCTTCTTTGCTGTCATGTGGGTGGGATTGGGAGGAGGAGGAAGCACAGAGCTGGCTCAATTGCCCAAAGGGCCTCAAGCACAGATATGAAGTCTGGGTTCTGGTGTCCACCCACCCACTCTCCCCAAATCAGACAAATGCCACTTTGTCTGACCTGCTGTGGCCTCTGAGACATGTTCTATTTTTAACCCCTTCTTGGAATTGGCTCTCTTCTTCAAAGGACCAGGTCCTGTTCCTCTTTGTCCCTTATTCTACCCCAGCTCCCTGTGAAGAGAGAGTTAATATATATTTTTTATTTATTTGCTTTTTGTGTTGGGATGGGTTTCTGTCCGGTCCCAGGGGGTCTGATGTGGCCATCGCAGGTTGGGTATGTACCCAGCAGCCCTGGCTTTGGGGCCTAACGCCCTTCCCCTCGCTCCATTTCTTCCCCTCAGTTTTGCCAATCGCTATTCATTTTGAGTCACCCTTTAAGCATGTATTTCAGACTTGTCACTGACTTTCCTTCTGGAGCAGGTGGCTAGAAAAAGAGGCTGTGGGCAGGAAAAGGTGTTCCTGTTCTTCACCTGGAAGGCTGGCCTCTGGTTTTTCTGCCATGTATTCTCCTCCTGCCCTCTGCCCTTTTCCTCAGCAATTCCTGCAAAGGGTTAAAAATTTAACTGGTTTTTACTACTGATGACTTGATTTAAAAAAGAAAAAAAATACAAAGATGCTGGATGCTAACTTGATACTAACCATCAGATTGTACAGTTTGATTGTTACTGTAAATATGGTAGAGTTTTGTTGTTGTTGTTTTTTCCATTCCCCATACCACTGAATAAACTAGTTCTGTGCAGGTAGTGTGCTGTCATGTGCTTCCATGTGGTCCCCTGTCCTCTTAGAGGATGGACACCTGGGCTTTGGAAAGCAAAAGATCAGAAAGGGCCTGGAAAACCCCAGCAGGAAATCAGGCCTCCGATACCAGTCTTCTGAAAAACGTGCCCATCTATGGATCTCCTCAACAATGTTCCCCAAGAACCTCATCAGCACAGAGCCCAAGTCTTGGCATTTCTAAGGAACATGAAGCGGGTGGGAAAGCACGTCCTTTTCATGAGGGACTTGAGTGGCTGGAGAAGTGGCACAGAGAGGGCAGGTTTCTAACTTCAAGACTGAGTGCTCAACAGAGACAAGTTTCCTAGGGCAGAATTCAATAGAGAGAGTCAAGATGAGTGGCAGGTAGGAATTTAAGAGTGCTCAGTGATTAGATAAGTCCTGACTCTATCATTCTGAGCCTTTTTCCACTGGAAAATGAAGCAACTTCTCATACTGGACCTAAGTATGTGCTCTGCAACATTACCTCTAATCCCACATTTGTGTTTTTCAAAGGTTCATTCAACAGACTAGAAAAGGAATTAACATGGGGCACCATAGGGTAGCAATTAGGAACACAAATGCTGGAACCAGACTGAGTGACTTAATCTCTCTGAGTCTTCGTTTTTCTGCCTGCAAAATGAGGATGATGATAACAGCAGCCACCTAATTGAGCTTTTATGAGGATTAAATGAGTTAGCACATATAAAGTGCTTAGAACAGTTCACAGTACATAGCAAGAGGCCAATAAACACTGGCTTGTCTTGTTGCTACTGGGGTGGAAAGGGAAGTGAAAGGAGAATGCACAGACAGAAAGACAGGCCAAGGGAAGGAAGTAAGCAGTTAGCTGAACAAGAGGGTCAGCTGCAGCAGGTATGCCAACTGAATGCTGCTTAGTTGGAGTGGAAGGACTGGGGGTGGGGGCAAAACATTAAGATTGACCCAGGGTGTGAACAGAACATGTGTTTCCTCTCTAGCCACCAGGGGGCAACAGCACACAGGTCTGCTGCCTGTTTTGCCTCTAATGACCCAAGGAAGGTTTGGCTCACACAAAGGTGCCGCCTGCTGGTCATGGCTGTGCGTGTCCCTAGGCTTGCTGAAGGTGCCAACAGGATCTGCTCCCTAGACACAAGGCAGGCAGGAAGCTGGGGAAACACACCTGAATTTTTTTTTTTCTTTATGCTGAATTTCTCCAGAACAAAAAACTTGATGTCAACCTCCTTGCCTCTCCCGCAACATCGGTTCTTGGAATTTCAGGGGTTCTAGGAGCTGCTGCAAGCTCAGGGAAAAGTTAGTGTCTAAGCAGCTGTCATGGGGATGTAGGTGGATATGTTAAATTAACCTTAGGATCAGCCACAAAAAGGGAAAAGCAGGGACAAGGAGGAGCACTTAAAGTTTAAGTAGGGCACTTACGGGCATACAGGCACAAGCAGGGACACCAGTTGGCAGTCCCATTTTCTTCTGCCCAGTGGCCTGCTACATTTCTTAAGTCATGACCTTGCCTTTGAAGAAGGAAGTTCCTTTAAAATTCAAAATGAACTGAGTTGGTTCTGGTTGCAAGAATCAAAGGCTTTGGGGCTGGGGCTGTAATTCAGTAGCAGAGCCCTTGTCTAGCATGTGTGAGGCACTGGGTTGAATCCTTAGCACCACATAAAAATAGAATAAAGGCATCCTGTCCCTCTACAACTATTAAAAAAAAAAAAAAGAGTCAAAGCCTGCAAAAAGTGGGAGACCCTAAGCTGTTAGGGGGTCCTTATCATTTATTCAATAACTACCATCTTATACCTTATTTATTTAATATTTATTTTTTAGTTTTCAGTGGACATAACCTCTTTATTTTATTTTTATGTGGTGCTGAGGATTGAACCCAGTGCCATGGGCATGCCAGGCGAACGCACTACCGCTTGAGCCACATCCCCAGCCCAGTATACTTTGTCACTTATTCAAAACATTTTCTAAATAAATGAATGAAATGCTCTGTTACATTCAAATCACAATATTAGGGCACTGCGGAAGTTTATAAATTCTGATCCTAGCTCTCAAGTCCAGTAGGGGAGATGAGAGGACAGACAACTCAAATGATGTGAAGTGCAATATGACAAGGTGTCCCAGCATCTTCTGTCTGAGGCGATCAGGGAAGCTGAATGTCACCAAAGGAACTTCTCAACCCATAAGTTCAGCAGACAAGGAGGCTCCATTGTCTTGACAGAAAAGGACATTCAAGTTTAGGATATGAATAACAATTTACCTAGATCCTAGCATAACTGCCTCATGTGATTTAAGCTACACTTATCTTTGACCTGGACCTTCTAATAATATCTGAATCTACAGAAAGACAGCTTGTTCCCATCAAATGCCAACAAGAGGGGTAGTTACTGCCGGATGAACTAGAAGCTCAAGGCCCTAGGACCTACTTAGGCCCCTGCCTGGGAGGTCTATCTCCGCTTTCTCAATAGAATTACACAGAGGTTTACAACAAATTTATTAGAAATTGGAGCAGAATTTACTTCCAGATATATAGGAAATTAAAAAAAAATACATTCATTTTATTTTAAAGAAACATAGAGTAAGCTTATCATCAACTAGCCTACGAGGAGTCACAGAATTCACAGGAAACAAATTCTGGAGACCAGATGCCTGCCTTGCCTCTCCAAACAGGCCTGAGTCCAGTAGAGGATGTGATTCAGGAAGACCTATCCTCAGAGAGCAGAAGCTGGCTACAGAGGCCATTCACATGGACTCATCCACTGAACCAAGGCCTGGGAAGATCAAATTCTCTGGGGCTGACCACAAGAGTGGGGGTGGAGAACACAAGCAATTTGCCAGAATTCTTCATTTTCTTTTTTGCTAATTTCACTGCTATGAGGTCACCTCTTTTCTCTTCATCTTTTTTTCAGCCCAGAGAGTTTGAATCTATTTCAGTAAAACTCAAATCCACCCCATCTCCTATGGTCTATATTCCTGGGGGGTTATCACCCTGGTGGCATGTCTTTCTCCTGTCCCTGGGCCAGAATCTGATGGAATCAGGGCCTGCTATTATAAATGAATCCAAGCAGTGACTGTAGTGGTTTGCTACTGAATTCTTGCTCGTCGTCTTGATTTCTTTATCTGAAGAAACAGAAGAACGAACTGTTTTAAAAGTGCCCATCCTCATTTAGCTCACCTGTCACCCCTCAAGTTCAAGCTCTTCAGGGTGGGAAGAAATAGGACTCCCTGTTCTTGGCTCCCTTCCTGATCACCCCTTCTCTATATAGAATTCTGGACTTCTGTGCACAGTAGCTTGGAAGCCCAGGTGATGGGTGCAGAGAGACCAGCCTTACCTGGTAGGTCCAGGGACTGCAATTTTCCTGGGGGGCTGCAGATTGCTGCGAGCGGCACCAGCAGCAGGAAGGTTTGGTCGCTGGGAAATAGGAACTTGATAGGGGTCAACAAAAGAAATGTGTTAGCAGAAAGTTCAACTGACCTTCTCAAAAAAGAAATATTGGATGAAGCCAGAGTGCCCCCCCCCACCTCTGTCAAGGGAAAAAATATGAGGTACTTGGAAACCAAGCCTGAGACTCTCTACTGGGCCCCACATTCTCTGCTTAACTCAGTCTCCTCATCTTCAAACGGAAGATGTCAAAAGCAGTCATTGCCAGCTCTGGGAGGATGAGGTCACCCTGGGCCAAGTTAGGTTTTCTTCCTCCTGATTTTGTATCCTTATGTTCACTCTTTCTCACCTCTGTGTCCTGCAGTGCTTGGTCTTAGAGGCCCTTTCCGAGTTGACACAGAATCCGGAGGGAGGGCACCTTTGCCAGGTGGTACACTCCGGCTGGTGAGTGGCATTCGGCTAGAGGGCCTGGGAATAGCTGAAGGAAGAGGGAGTCGACTGGAAGCCTTAGTAGCTGTCCCCTGTGGCCGAGAATGGCGTTGAGAGTTGCTGGTTGAAGGCTGTGGGGCCAAGGCTTGTCTGACATGGGTAGGTGGCCCTGTTATAAAGTAGTAGAAGCATTTCAAGGTAAGTTTTACTTCCTCCTTACCCCATCACCCACAGCTTTGCTGCCCAGTCTCACTTGCTGTTGCCCTTGCATTGGGCCCAGCCTTGCCCCGGAGTGGAGGAGTTGATTGTACAAGAGGAGATGATGCTGGGCTTTTGGATGCAGGCAACAGATTGCAAGTGGGTGATTCCTGAAAGAGAGAGAGAGAGACATGGAAAAGGGGGGGAGGGGAGCTAGAATGTAGAACATATTGGTTCTGCTGGCATAAGGGATTAAGGACTAGAGAGGCAGGGAGCTATCTAGATCCCAGTGAGGAAAAGCAGAAGCTAGCTGCCAACATCATCAACACCATCATTACCATCAACACCACTTTTATTGAGAGCTTATTATAATCATTAGCCTCTACATTGTAGTATAGCACTTTCCCAATGTATCTCATTCAATTCCAATTCTAGAGGCAGAATTACTATTCTCCTTTGACCAATGAGGAAACTGTTGTGCCTTCAACATGTCATGTACTATGTCTAGGGGTGCACATGCCACTCAGCCCTCCAAACTCACCCTCTTCACACTGGAGGGCCTCTTTCCAGGTGTTACTCTAAGAGCCCTGGCTGACCCCTTCTTATCACTGCTCCGGAGCCGAGGTGTCAGGCTGCTTGGGGAGGGTGTGCTCCAAGCCAAAGAGCTGACATTGGGTAGCAGGTCTCGGACAGGGCTGTCCTTCAGCACAAAGGTCTCCCGTCGAGGGCTGGGCTTCCCTCGGAGAGGTCCTGGGCCCTGACCTGAGCTCTCCCGATCCTGTAGGGCACACTGCTCCAACTGAGCTGCCAGCCGGTTGGCTTCATCGAGGATCTCTTCCAGCTTCTCTGGACTGAGAGGGCCTAAGCTGAACCTCACACCCTGGGGTGCAGGGGCCACTGCATTTGGGTCACTTCGGTGGGAGAGGCCCCGTCGGAGTGGTTTCTCTGGAGTCACCAATACTGCTGCATCTTCCTCCTCACGACTGAGACAGAAAATAAACAAGGCACCAAGACCACACAAAAAAGGAGCAGGGGACTGTGCAAGACAGGCCAAACAAAACTCCAAACTAACATCCATTCTGGCTGTGAGACCTGGCCTCTAGGTGATGAGATACTTGGTTCTCTGAGCTCTAATAGGCCTTTAGCATTTACTGACATTGGGAGGATGAAGATGCAACAAATCCATGTGCACTTCTTAACAGCCCTGAAAAATCACTTGTTTCTCCTTTCCCTTCCCTTACCAATAGTGTCCTAACAGCCCCAGTGCTTCAAACTTTGCTAAATTACCAACCCTGGCTCTGGAGGCCAATAATTCAGCAGTAAGGCCAAAGAGGTGTTATTGGAGGGAGATAAATAAGATAAAGCAGTTGGTACCTGTCAGATGGGGACAGACCTCCAAAGTCCAAGGTCTCATCCACAATAAACTTGACATCTGAAGGGGAAAGCAGAATGAATGCCAGCCACTGGTCCCTGCTTGAGGCGGCTCTCGATAGCAAGGCCTCATTCGTCCCTCCAGGGCTTCCTTACCTTCCTCCAAACCCTCCATGTCCAATCAGCAGGAGCGAGTGAGCTTAGACCTGAACTGGAGAGAAAATATACTTTTCCTTCAGGTATCCATCCTGCCCCAGGTTCCCAGTTATTCTTGGGATGCAAGCCAGGGACTGGAGACATGTTGCAGTAGCACACGCCCCTTTAACTATCCGCGATACCTACCGGAAAGTTGCAGAGAGCTCCCCCACTCCCACCAGATGGCCCTCCCACCCCTCTAAGCCCTTGGACTCACTGGGGAAGGTCTGCGTGCCCCGCCTTCCACCCCGCCACTATCCTTCGGGTTTTTCCTCTCATAAGCCACCCTTCCACTCTCGCGGCACCACACGGGAACCACACCTCCCGCCCATCCGCAGTTTCCACTTCCCGTCCCAACCTTACCTTCCACTAAGAAGCTTTCTTTCCACAATCTAGTCCCGGGAATCGGCTCCCAGAGGGCGGGGCTCCTTTCGAATTTCTCAGGACCCACCCACTTCTGCCACATGCGCACGGTGATTGGCGATTCTCAAGGGGCGGGGCTATGACGGAAAGCCAACCGAAAGCCTACCGATGGGGTCGAAGGTGGGATGGGTAGGAGAGGCGTTCCCAGGAAGACTCCGGCCGCGAGGGGGAAGCTGGGCTGCGAGAGGAGGCCGCGAGTGCGCGCGCTACCCTGGAGCCCCTCCTAGGCTCCTAGACCTAGAGCCCTGCGCAGGAGGGCCCGGCAGGGGCGGAACCTCGTGGCGGCGCTTGAGGGAACGGGCCAATGAGAATGGGCTTTGCGCCCCGCCCATCCCCTCTTCCCCTCCCTCCCCTCCTCCCGCGGAGCCGAGGAGACCAGTGTTTATTGGCTGGGTTCTCCGCAGAGGCTGCTCCAGAGAACCACGACAGGCCCTAAAACTACTGCTCTGCGGAGGGGAATTCGTTTCCTTGGGCGCATTGTGCAAACTCCTTGTTTGCTGAATTTCATTTCTTGTGATTTTTTGATTTGTAGATGAAGCCCCCCCCCCCAAATAGGATGGCCACCAAGGAAGCACTTTTAAGTATATTTTATATTTTAAGTATTTTAAGTATATTGAGGTTCTCAAAGAAGTACATCCTCCATTGCTAACTCTCTTCCTTCCCACACTGGATTGGACCCTGGGGCGCTTTCACTGAGCTGTATCTCCAGCCCTTTTTAAATTTAAGTTTGAGACAGAATCTAAATTACCTAGATTAGCCTCGAGCTTGTGATCCTTCTGCCTCAGCCACCAAGTGTAACTGAAGTTTTTAGACGTGCACCATGGCGTTCAGACCTGTGGATTGAACCCAGGGCCTTGTGCATGCGAGGCAAGCACTCTATCAACTGAGCTATATCCCAGCCCCCTCTGATCTCTGATTTTTTTTTTTTTTTTTTTTTTTTTTAAGCAAAAACAATCGGAACCTCAGGTAGCCAAGGTTTTCAGAAAACAACTGGCTTTTTACCCAGGGAGATTTGGGTTCAAATGTAATAATGACTCCTTTTACAAGCAGGGCAGGATTGAGTATATTTGCCTTCTTGGGTCTCCTGTTCGCTTGAGAAAAGAGGAAGAATTAGAAGGATAATTATCAGCATCAAGTTTTATATGTTGTGCCCACAGATTGTGAGGGGGTGTTTGTAATTAGCTACCTCGGAACTAAAAGCTGTGTTTATAAACTAACTGCTTTAGCTTACTTACTAGGGGATGTTGGCTAAATGTTGCAAGTGAATAAGCTGGGCCACCAGTTAACAGAACTTCTTAGAAATGTTCTAAAAATTTAAAAAGTGAAAAGCTCCTAACCATGGTTGTGGAGCTTTCCTGTAAACAAAGAGCCTGAGTCCTTAGAGTTTATAACCATTGTTTTTGCTTTTTTGTTTCCTTCCTAGGTTCTAACTGTAAATTTGAAGTGGTGAGGTCTGTAGGAGGGATATGTAATAAATACCTCAAGAAGCAAAGGAGCCTTGGAATTTTAGGGAAGTGATAAGGGAAAAGGTGGGAGGCCCAGAACTTTCAAATTTATGTGAGGAAGAGCACAGAAAAAGAGATTACCTCTTTCCGATGATGCAGATGTTAGGTAGTAGCTAGCAAGAGCAGTGAAATGCATGGTAAGGTCATAAAGTGTTCTGTAAATTATTTCAAGGTTCTTCTTTATGATAAGGTTATAAAGTGTTCTTTAAATTGCTTTAGTGTCCTTCTTTAAACCATCTTAAGAAATCAAATGGTGGCAGTTAATCTGTAGAAAACAATCCAAAGCAAGGGAACTATTTGTAAAACACTTCAAGAGAGAAGGATTAATGGGACTAACTCTTGACAGGATCTACTGAGGTTTATGTGAAGATAGGAATTATGTTTGTAAGTGTCTTCAATTGTCTGGGAAGGAAGATTCCCTCCTTCCCCAGGTACACTAAGGTAACTTCTGATCAGCTATTGACCCCAATGCCCACATTAACTTGTAGATGAAGCCCCTCTAAATAGGATGGCCACTATAACTGAGGATACACTAAGGGCAAAAACTCCACCACCCAACATGAAGAAGGATTTGAATACCCAGTTGGTGAAAATTGCTGCAGGAGGACCCCAGTTCTCAAGTTAACTTGTAAAACAATAAATTTGGGGACAGCCTTATCTCTTATGTTGCTCTCAGCTTGGAGAAAGCCTACTCTCCCTTGAGAGTGCTTTCTGCTTAAGCCTCACTTTACTTTTACTTTACTTTCGCTTATAATAAAGTTATCTTATATAACTTTTGGTGTCTGACTTTAAATTTTCTTACATTGAAACACAAGAAGTGAAGTTTGGAGTTTCAGCTCCTTACTTTCTTGTGACAGAGATGACATTTTAAAGTTGCTTGCAGGATTCAAAGTCTATGGGGGTGGAAAAGCCAGTCAGTAGCTTCATCTCCCAGGCAAGTAGCAACAAAGATTAGAGGAGAAAGAGCTGTTAGTAACAATGTTCTTTATCCCCAAAAGCAACCTGAGTAGGGGACTCTACACTTTAAGTTTTAGCAAATTGTTAGTTTCTCCTAAGGAAACTCCCTTAATTTTCTGTCTCCAAATTATGATCTTGAAAACTGTTACAGTTCATAAAGAAAAACAAAAACTAAATAAACAAAACCCCAGTAAAACTACTTTTTCTCTACCAAAATGAAAGCAAAGCCAGAAAGTACAGATTTCAGATACAAGAATTCTTCATGTAGTATAAGGAAAATATTTGATGTTTGTTCCCCTCTCTTGAACCCTAAAACTGTGTGTATAAGCAGCTGATTAATATTTTGGACAAATAATAAGTTAGTGAAAAAGTTACATTCCTTCCCGGGCACGTAGGAGAACTCAGCTCAAAAGGAACTCCATAAACATCAAATGCATAAATGAGAAAGTTAAGGATTCCAGGGCAGTATTTCTTAAATGCAGAAGGATTAACTGAAGGTCTTGTTCGATGTGAAGATTTTTCCTTTACCAGGAAGGTTTGGGATGTATGAACTTTAAGGGAGGCCTCTTTAAGTGATTCAGCAAATAGCAGAGGCCAGAGGTCTCACTGATGGACACTTAGGGCATTATAACTGAGGGTATTTCACTTCTTCCTGACCTACACTCTGCCTCAGCCAGATGGAGGCATTTTTGCCATTGTGTACCTGGCTGACTGGCTCTGGACTTTGGCCTTTACCCCTACATTCACCCCCACCCTTGGTACTAAGGATTGAACCAAGGGGCACTCTACCACTGAGCTACATCCTCAGACCTTTTTATCTTTTTATTTTGAGACAGGGTCTTGCTAAGTTGCTGGAAGTTTCACTAAATTGCTGAGGCTAGCCTCAAATTTGCAATCCTCCTATCTCAGCTTCCTGATTTGCTGAGATTTTAGTCATGCACCACACACAGGTTGCTCCATCCCCACATTCTTGGGTTCCATAGTGAATTAGGCCTTATAAATGATTTATGTGACTATTTTCTCAATTTTCCCAAGGATAGTAACATAAGCAGTAGCATCTTAGTTGCATAGGAAGAAGTTAATTTATGACAGACTGTGGGGAGCCATTCTCACGAGTGACTGGGTGACTCCCAGTTTGGGTCTGAGGCTTCTGGCTGTGTTGGAATTTTCCCGGCCCTCTCCTGATGAGAGAACCCGTCCGTGTGGGGGTGTGACTAACCCCGGGGGCCCAATCACTGACCCTGACCTTGGAGTGCGGGCCCCCCCTCAACCTTCATTGGATGGAATTATCCCCTGAATTTCTTGTTTCCCAATAAAAGGCTACTCCCTGGCATGCTCGCTCTCTCTCTCCTGCTAGCCCTGAGTAATCCTTGTTGCCCTGCTGGGCGGTTAGAGGAGGGAACCAGAGAGGGGAGCCGTCTCGGACCTGGCAATAGAAATAAGGTAACTGAGTCTGTGTGTTTTATTTCAATCTCTTCTAGCTAACTTTTATGCCAAGAACCTCATTAATGAAACCATTGCGCTGGCCGCATGGTGGAACAGACAATAGATACCTTGTGGCATCAGCTTAATTCTAGAGGAATTCCAGTTGAAAAGAACTGAACTAGATATTTTGCCTCAACTGAAAACAGACTTTGGGTCTGAACAGAAAGGCCCTTCCACATGCTTTTTAGCCAAATCACATCCCCTTTTTCCTCTTCAAAATCTTTCCTAATATTTATTGCCTCTGGGAAAAAAAAATTTTTTCCCCTTAAATCCATGATTCCAACTTAGACTCACTGGGTGAAGAAGATGAGAAGAAATAGGGAAGGCATGGAGTCAAACCAGCTCTGCTGCTTACCATGTGCGTGACTTGGGGGTGGGTGTTTATAAACTTCAACTTCTTCATTTATAATATGAAGATTAAAGGAGATAAAGCACTTAATTCAGTGCTAGAATAAGCATGGAAAGCTGTTTATTTGTTTTTTTCTTTCTTTCTTTCTTTCTTTTCTTTTGTAGTACTGTCAATAGAACCCAGGACCTCACACATGCTAGGCGAACATTCTATATCACTGAGCTATCCTCAGCCCCAGTTATTTGTTTTATGTAACAAACCACTTGGAAAATTAGTGACCTAAAACAACAGCAACCATTTATTTGCTCATGATTTTACACTGGGGCAGGGCTCTGCAGGTATTGATTGAGCTTGACTAGGGCTGAAGGGTCCAGAGGCCACAAGTTTCTACAACTGTGGTACTGGCTGTCAGCTGGGATATGCAGGTGTCTTCCATGTGGCATATCATAATCTAGCTTGACATTTTTTACACAGAAGCTGACTTCCAAGAGCAAAAGCGAAAGTTATTAGACCTTTTAAGGCCCAGGCTAAGAACTGCCACCTCGTCACCTCAGCTACATTATTTTGTCCAAATCAAGCCACAGGATTCAAGGGGAGGGAAAACAGATTGGAACTCTTGGTGGAACGAGCAAGATGGCTATATGAGGATGGGAAAAACTACTGCCATATTTTGCAGAATATCTTTATCTCATTTTTTTATGGGCCAGGCTATATGGGCAATGACTAAATAGACTCCATTTTACCCTGAGATTCCATGTCATTTAAGAAATGCTTCTCTCTTGGGAAAATCCCGTTTCTATACTCATCAACAGTTGCTTAGCATAGCATATTGACAATGCAAAATGGCAAAATTATTCCTTCTATTCTTATACACTGTACTTGTACAATGTACCCTAACCGCATAGAATGTTAATGTTTGTCTAGATGTTAGTAATTGTTCTTTAACTTGTGCTCAACCACAGTCTCTTTAATCCACTTCCCCTTCAACTTATGATGTGAAGTCTCATGATTTTTGTTTATGATTTTGAAACATGGCAATGGCCATTTATGATTAATGTACTGATATGCTTTACATGTGCTTTTAAACTATAAAAGGTGTCCTCTAACCCCTGGAGGACGTCGAGGAGTGCAAACTTGCCATTTGCCCTCTTCCCATGAAGCTAGTTCCATCTCCTGCTTTGAGATGGACTTGGTGATTTATTGCAATCTTGCCATAACAATTTGATATAAAAATGAATATAACTATAAGTAAGGGATGCTCACATCGCAGCCCTCAGGCCTGATTATGTATGCTTGTATCCTGCTATTTGCCACTTGGCGATGGATTTGCATTCTGTTATCCCAACTTATATTGGAAAGCCAACAGAAGAAGGGAGCAAGTCATCTTTACCTCTTTCCAGCACCTTCTACTATACTGAGTTGAATTCAGTTCTGTCATGAACTGCCTAGGGAAAAGGACAGTGTCAGAAACCTATGTGGAAGAGAATGTGAATATAGAAGAGGAAAAGAAAGAATGCAACAGAAAGAGAAGACAGTCTAGCTAAAGGATTCCATTTTTCTAAATATTTTTTTCCCATATAGAAAGGCTCAAACAGGTGCATGGAAGAGCCACACATTTATTTAGATTACTCCAAATCAGACCTTGTGCTAAAGCTCCTTTAGAACACAATCTTGTCACAGTCAGGCTTCCTGGAGGCCCTGAAAAGAAAGGGCACGTTGTGGCCATCACAGCAAACAGCCAGCGCACACCTGGGAAGCTGAAGCCACCTCTCTTCATGGTCCCAGGGACCTGTGCGATGAACTCACTACCTACCTTGCTTCATCCCTGGGCTCTGGCTGTGAAAGAGAGAAAAAGAGCAACAAATACCCACACCAAGGAGCCCAGCATTAACCCAGAGGGTGGAGAGATGGGAAGACTGTGTTCATAAGCCAGCTGGCAGGCAGAGCTCTCCTAAGGAGAATCCCCTGCTTTAATGCAGCCCTTAGGGTTTTTATTTGCTATGTATCAATGATGGGCTTAAGTAAATAGCTTCGGGGACTGAGATTGTTACCAGTTTTCCTGGTCAGGAGCTACAACTCAGGGGGACGTTGGGAGCTCATTCTTGCTCATTCTTTCTTCTTTCTTACCTAACTCATCCATTTATATACAACATATCTATTGTGAAGGATTTAGAATTTGAAGGAGCTACCAAATTTTAAACAACTACCTCAGTTGTCCTTTGTGAATAATGGGCTGCTTGGGAACCATGTGCCCAAATGTTAAATTATTGTTGGCATATAATGAAAATGGTGATTTCCTTCTCTTATATAGGAAGCATACATGACATTCAAAGTTACATATAAATAAACTAATCTGTTTCTTATACCTATGATACTGAGGTAGAAACACCTAATGGACAAGAATAATCTCCTGTTCCTACTCATCCAAGGTTTTTTTTTTTTTTTTTTTCTTTTTCTTTTTGATCCTGAGGATTGAGCCCAGGGGTATTCTGCCAGTGAGTGACATCCCCATTCCTTTTTAAAATTTTTTATTTTGAGACAGGGCTTTGCTAAGTTGCTGAGGTTGTTCTCAACTGTGTGATTCTCCCGCCTTAGCCTCCCAAATTGCTGGAATCACAAGCATGTACCACCAAACCCACCTGTTTTTTCACCCTTACCCTATCCCTTAACAACTTTTCTTATAGTACCTGCTCAGTTCCTCTCACAGAGCCTCTCAGGATTAGATAGATGTTCTCACCATTCTTCAGAGGACCATCAAATTTGATCCTTTCTCACCAACATACAGAGAAAATAGACTTCGTCTATGGCAAATTCCCTCTACAGAGGTAACAGTATTGGTTTGAAAAAATGGTCACCGAGGGTACATGGTTGAGAGGCTCAGGAATATACATTTGCCCCAGACCCAGTAACACCCGCATAACATGAAATAACCCTTCAAGGCACCCTGTCCGTCTTCCCTTACCTTTCTTATGTACAATGTCCTTTTAGGTAGCTTCAGTTAGGAGCTGCAAAAGTGCACATATTTCTCAATGTTAACAACTCAGAAATCTCTGGGAAACCTTTCAAAGCATCGCGAAGGGATATTCTATTTTTGTTTTTTGGGGAGTCCATTCTGCTAGTTAGGGAGACTATATATTAAGGAAGAGGAAGACATATAAAGGCTTATTCATTCCTGATTCAAGCAATTAACATTTTGACAGTGCCAACTGAGTGTCAGAAACTAGGCTAGACAATGGGGAAACAAAGGTGAATATAGACAGTGTCCATGCCCTCAGTGCTTAGAGTTCAAGGAGGAAACAAATCCATAAGTAGATAATATGCTAAATGTAGTGATGAAGATCTGAACAAGGTGACAGGGATGGATAAATGAATGAATACATTAAAGAAGTAGAGAGGATGTGCAATATTGCCTTTAAATAAACCAGAGGGGGAAGAAATAAACAGCTGTAGTTTTTGTGGACTGGGTCAGGAGATTGTATAACTTAAAGAAAAAAAGATCTCAATGGGAACTTGAACTTAATGCCTCTAGAGTGTCAGCTCCTCAACTAACCAATACTGGAAATCCTGGATAAACCAGTTACCTCCTTGTGTTTGGGGTTTCTACTTTGTAAATCAGGGAAATAAACAAACAATTCTTCCTATATTATAGAATGGTTATGGAGAGAAATGAGACAGTGGATACTAAAAATGTCTTCTCAAATGCATCCTAATGTGACCGTGTTGAGAGGACCTGGAGTGGGAAGCCCTTCTCCATCTAAACTTATGTCTCTGGCTGCTGACTTTTCCACCAGGGGAGAGGGAGATGACGGGCACTGTAAGGCACCAGTTCCTCTCTTGCCCTTACTTTTCACATCCACCCGACAGTCCACAGATGCCTCCCCCAGGGCGTTCACTGCCTTGCAGGTATAAATGCCTCCATCAAAGGGACCAGGCTTGCGGATTTCTAGGGAGCAGATCCCCAGGTGACTGAGGGCTCTGTATTTGGGGTTGCCTTGGATATCCATCTTGTTCTTCAGCCAGATGATCTTGGGCTAGAAGATAAAGATGAGGGGGTAGAAAGAGGGAGTAAGAACAAATTGCTCTTTCTGTGCTCAATATCTGGGACTCTTCCCACAAGGCTTGTAGATAATGACTTCCTGGAAGACTCCCTGTCCTTGATGTTGTGGGAAGAGATTTCTCTTTCAGTACCTTCACCAATACCCTCCCTTCTCCTTTATTTGATTGAAAAGAGCACCCAAAACCTCACCTTCTTCATCAAATACCTTTGACTGGAAGAAAGGGGAGAATTTCTGTCTGATACTTACTGAGTGGCCCTTCATGGATCATAAACTCTGGGCATCAGGGTCTCCTCTTTCTATACATACATTGTTAACCATTCATATTCTAATCCAACTGTTGCCTTGTGACTAGTCCCCTCTTGTTAGAAAGTAGTTTCTAGAGTGGGCATATTGATATTACCCTTCTAAGATGTGATTGCCATATTGTCTCATGATCCAAAAGGTACTTGGTAAAGATTTCTAAGGGTATTGTTAAAGGTATTTAATACTAGATTTTAAATAGAAAGCCTCCCTCAAAGTTATAGCCAGAGGCCCAACTTTAGGCAACTTGCATGTGACTGTCCCTGAACAGATGAAGTCTGGGTAAGTGAGTGAGGACAAACCAGCAGGACTCCATCATGCCCAATAGCAGCAGGTCAGGAAGTGACATCTTTGTATATGAGGAACCAATACTAAAAGGAAACATCATTTGCATCTGTCCATCTGGAACTACAAATGCCCTGACTGTTCCTAAATAACCTGCCATTAAAGAGGGAGATGACGGCAGGGAGAGGAAATGTGAAATTAGAATGCTCTGTGGTAGTAACTAAGGTTAGGATGGGAGCATGAAATAGCTCATACCTCCCCTTCAACTTCCCCAACTCCCCACTCACCCTGGGAGAGGCGCGGACGCAGCAGAAGAGCTGGGCATCATAGCCAGTGATTGTAGTGCAGTCTGCCAGAGGCTGGGTAAACCTTGGGGCTTCAGAGAAGTCCCGCTGGGCAAACCCCTTGGTCTTGTAAACAGTAGCTGTGGGCATGATGTGGCATGAGATCCCCATCCCTCTTCCACTCTTTAAGTCTTTCTAGTGGTGATCTCTGCGCTTTCCTTACCTGCTTTCTGGATGTGGGCAAGGTCAGCAGTGACGGGGGCTGTTTCACTGAGTCCACACTGGTTTTCAGCAAAGACACGAAAGGCATATGAGTTGCCCACAATGAGGTCGGAGACAATGCAGCTGTTGCGGTGATATTGCTCCAGCACTGTGAACCACAGCTAGGGGGCCCCAGAAGATGCCATACGTGAGACAACTGTTCTATGAACTCATCCCACATGGAGCTGCCAGAGGACCATTTCAGAATGCCCTGTCCCCTCCTCCCTCCTTTCCAGCTGGGCCTCACCCCAGATTTTGTGTCAGCCTTCTGCACTGTGTATCCCAGAAGTGTCGTGTTGCCCGTATCTTGGGGAGGTGTCCATTCCAGGGTAGCGTTGGAGCCCCAGACGTCCACCAACTTAATACTCTGAGGAGGGCCTGGCCTCTCTGGAAGAGCAAAGCCATAGCAGTGGGCATAGTATAACCCACGTGCATCAAAATCACTTCAAGAGTGCCTCCTGCCCTCCCATCTTTCTCCCTCTCTCCATACTAAACTCCACTGAGAAAAGTGTCCTATTAAACTTTATTTTATTTTTTGATACTGGGGATTGAACCCAGGGGTGTTTTACCACTGAGCTACATCGCCAACCCTTTTTATATTTTTATTTGAGACAGGGTACTAAGTTGCTGAGGCTGTCTTTGAACTTGTGATCCTCCTGTCTTAGCCAACTGAGTCACGGGATTACTGGCATCTGCCACGTTGCCAGCTTGGCCTCTTTCCATGCTCAGGCCCCTTCCCCTCGCCCACCATTGTGTCCCACACTTGGGGTTGGGGCATCAGCCCAGCTTTCCTTTTTCCCTAAGATGGCTCCTCTTTAGCCTAAAGAGGGAGCTCCTAGGAACTACCTCCCCCTCCCCCACCTCCACTTACCAATCACCAGGATATCAATGGTGGCAGTGGCCTCCAGCCCACCCAGCTGCACACAGAGTTGGTAGTGGCCCGAATCAGCACGTTGGGCTTCTCTGATGAAGAGGATGGAGTCTTGCTCCCCATTCCGCACACTCACACGATGGGTGTCCAAGGCACAACCATTGTGTGTCCAAGTGGCTCGAGGTTTGGGCTTGCCCTGAAGAATGTAGATATGGCTGGAGCAGCCCAAGAGGCTTCTGTACCCTCCCTGTGGCGGTTGAGATTAGCTCTACCCCAGGTCCACAGTGTTGCGTGATTTGCAGCTGCAAATTCCTTGAGCTAGAGGTTGGTGGTCTCTTCTGGGGACTTCTTCCTTTCAGCAACAGCCTCAGGATCATGGGAAAGGGGGATGGCTTTGAGGATCATGGGAAAGGGGATGGAATCGAGGTTATGGACACCCCTGGGACTAACTTGAATAGCTGCCCAAACTCCCAAGAGCCCTCCAAGTTGAGGACTCCCAGACCTCTTCAGACAGAAGGTCATAGATTAACTTACCTCCTCCCACAGGCACCCCTGACCCTACCAAAGCCCACCCTCAGGGGTGAAGAATAAATGGGTCATTTGGCCTTACACTTCTGGAGATGTGACCCTTCCATTCAGGAAGACTGCCCCACTGCTAGCAGGACTCTTGTTATCTGTTTCTAAATAAAAAACCTTGGTCTGGTCCCAGTAAGGGGCTGGCATGATCACCTGGAATGGGATTAGTAGGTTCACTGTGTCCCCAACCTTCCGGATGTACGTCTGCCTCAGGGCCCGAGGTAGCCAGATCTTGGGGTGCACTGAGTGATGGAAAGAGAGAACAGGAAGTGGATATTCAGAGGAAGGGGATAGTACACATTAAGACTGCACACTAAGGATGATGGCCTGGGCATCCTTCACCAAATTAAGCCCCTATGTTAGGGGATGGGAAGATTGTTCCCATTGTCCTTCTTTCTTTCTTTCTTTCTTTCTTTCTGACAGTGCTGGGGATGAACCTAGGGTCCTGTGCCTGCACGCTTTCTATCCCTGAGCCCACCCACATTGTCTTGCTGGGATTTAGGAATGAGTCTTTGGCTGAAGGAACCCAGGGAGAGTATTTAAGTCCCTGCAGAAAGAGCACTGGATAGTGAGACTGACACTTTTAATTTATTACTCTCAACTACTGACTCTCCATCAGCCAGAGTTTTGTCTGCGCTCAGTGTGTATTTTGTGTTTTCTGTGTGGTGTGTGTTTTCTGCCCTTTTCTGCATTGGTTCTTAGCTACTTTGCTTGTCCAGAGGCCACTTTCAATATTAATCCCCAACTCCCAGTTCAGCATGGACTTCAGGAGAATGCTTTCTGTTCTGTAGGCAGAGCAACACCCTGGACTCCAGCAGCCTCCCACTGGGACAGCATTGATGTCATCACAGGGAGCCTGCGTCTGGGTCCCTTCCTCTGTGTGACCGCCCTGTTCCTGGCGCCTGCTTCCAGTTGGTGGAGGATCACTTTGTACAAACAAAATCTGGGAGAGATTAGGTCCCCCCCGCTCACCTCCCCTTGATCCCCCAGGCCTATCCCAGTGAGGTGTAAAGATTAGATGACATTTATTGGCTTCCAGGATGATGATAGGAGATGCTTTAGAGAGTGCTGAGTGTAAGTTTTGGGGAATGATCAGATGCCATTTCTCTTTCTTGGAGATGCCTGGGGCTTCATAGGCTGTCAGAGTAGGAATATCCCACTTGGGTCCCCTGGGGGCTTGTTGAGAATGACCTCTTCCCAGGGCTGCTGTTTGCTCCCTTCCCCAGCACAGAGAGTCCCCTGCTGCTGTTGTCTTAAGTAGAATGTGACAGCGCCTCAGTTCCCACCAATAAGCCAGGCCTCCCTGCCAAAATTCAGTCCTAGCAGTTAGAAAAACTCCACCCCTGGTACATTCCTGTGGCAAGCAGCAGGACTGCTCAATAGCAGATTCCAAACTTTTTGATAACACACATTTCCCTGTAAATACATTCCTGAGCATTTACCCCAACACAAGTATGTTTACCTACAGATTGAACTGTTTAAATATGTACATGAAGAAAAGCAAACATTTAAGTGATGACATTTATAATTAAATAAACAGAGGTCAGACTATGTTCTTCCTACACCTCAATTTATAGACCCTCCCCCATCAGTCTCTCCAGATCACTGCCCATTGTAAATGAATATACAGACAGCGCTGGAGGGTTTATTTCACATCTCTAGTTTTCTTTTTGGTGAATGGCTTATGCTTTCACTTGGGCCGCGCCTATCTTGGATAGCACCTTTGGAGCTGGGTGCTGAGGGACGTGAGTGTTCTCAAGAACAGGACAGTAGCAGAGCTGCAGGCCACAATGACCCTGCTCTGGTTGCCCTCTGCTGACTTTGGTGGTTGGGGGTGGGGTAGGAAGAACAGCGGAAGTGTTGTGTGATGTGTTCCTCTCCTGTGACCATGTTGGCAAGCAACCAAGGAGTTAGAAACAGGCGGACATGAGTTAAGGGCTTTTTGAAAAAGAGAACTGTAAATGGAAAGGAAGCTCAAAACCTTGTCTTGCTGAGCTTGGTTCCCCGGTGTTGGGTAGGGAAATAACCCTTCACATTTATCGGGGAGAGGGTAAGAGAAAAGATGACTCTGCTGTATAGAGACTGTCAGAGTTATTGAGACAGTGAGGGACCACCAAGGGACAGAAGATTAAAACCCCAAGGACCCCTTAGCCCCTGACCTGTCATCTATCAAAGGAATGGTACAAAGAAAGCATGGAAAAACACTGAAGGCCTTAAGTCACTAACCTGTCAATTCCTTCAAATTGGCATGCGTTTGTCCCCCTTTTCTTTCCTCCTTCTCTATTATACTTTTCAACTATCTTATAGCCAGGGAGTTGTACTACGAAAATGGAAATATTGGTGTCAGAACATCTCCAAAAGCTAGGTGCAGTGGTGCACACCTATAGCCCCAGCAACTTAGGAGGCTGAGAAAGGATCACAAGTTCAAGGCCAGCATAGGCAACTTAGTGAGACCCTGTCTCAAAAAGGGCTGGGGATATAGCTCAGTGATGGAGTACCCCTGGTTCAATCCCTAGTATTGAAAAAAAAAAATCTCCAAGGATAAATTAAATAGCTGCTTATCTGTATCTTCCATAAGGAAGACATTCCCTGAAAAATTATGACACATGACTAGTAGAAAATGACCAGACTCCAGCCCAGCCTGGCAACTTGATAAAAAACTGGATCCTTCCTTTGGGGAGCAGGCTGATCTCTTTCTATCAGTGCTCTGTCAGGTAACACTACCCCTCATTAAAGCTTTGCCTAGGTGTTCATGTTCCTTGGCTTGATTTCATTTCTGCAGTCGCTGGGTCAGAAGTTCCCATGTCTGGCATCATCATGAAGGATCCTGGTAACAAGGGAATGACTGGAAGAAAAAGGAAGAACCCACTTTCTGTGTGTTATCTGTCCATTTGCCTTCTCACCAGTATCTGCCCAGGGCTGGGCTGGGCATCAGAGTCAGGATTCTGATGTGACCTCCAGCGGCCTTCAGGGAAAAGGCAAAGGGATAGTCACAAGGACTGAAGAGGGTCAAGATGAGGAAAGGAACCTGGGCCTTCATGCCTGGGAGATGTGCGACTGAGCCCCCCTCCGCCTCCACCTTCGGTGGGAAATGGACTTTGATGAATAGATCACACTAATGTATACTTTTTCTACCTCAAGTTTCTTTTGTTTATTGGAAAAACTCCTTGGAAAATGTCATCATTCTTTCATCTGAGCCAAAGAGGAAGATGAAAGGAATAGACTTATGTAGAACATAGGCTCTGGTGGGGGAATCAGGGTAGGACCTCAGGATGGCTTTAGAAACCTTGAGGGGAGCTCCACTGGTACATAGCCAGCAGAGGGAGGCTCTGGTGGCACTGAGGTGGCAACCTGTCCCTCCCCAAAGGGCTCCTGGCCCTTGTGTATACGTGAGATTCCCTGGCAGGATGATGGAACTGAAGTTAGCCCCTCTGAGGGTGAGTGGGTGGGGTGCTGCTCTCCACAGGCCTGGCCCCCAGGGACAAAGGGCTGGAAGTGCACAAGAAGGTTTGGCAGTGCCAGCTGCCCGGTCAGCAGTGAGTTTTCTAGTGGCCGCCCAATTCAGCCCAGCAGCAATCTGACCCTTGTTCAGAATGTAACGGGGCTCACTTGAGGCATCTCTTGGCACCTCCACAGACAAGCGAGGTGTAAATTGTACTGACCTTGGGGAGCATGGCTTCTCCTGACACCCAAGGTCTTCCTTCTCCTCAGATGCCAGGAAGGATGTGACCAAAGCCTAGAGCTTCAGTTTTCTCAGACCAGGTCTGTGGCGGCCCCAGTTTTGTTTTCACCCTTCACAGAGTCTTGGGGAAAAGGCATTTTGAAAAGCCCTCTGGAAGCTCAGACCTCTGAGCTGCCCAAGGCCAGCTATGGCTTTGAAACTAAAGATTGCCAGGGATCCCGAAGTACCGGCATTTCTTAGAGAAACATTCAGAGATGCCTAGGGTGTGGTCTTGACTTTAGAAACCTGCCTGGTGGACAGTGATGGGAAAGGAGTGTGATGACCACAGAAGAAACTTGCAAAGGGTAAGTGTCACCTCCTTGAAGACATGAAACACAGATCAGAAAACAGGGAGGGATGTAGAAACAGGCAACGTTATTCTGAGATAAAGACCCCCACCACCACCATCAGTGCCTCATATTTGGTTTTAGAATCAATGGCTCTGTCTCCAACACTGCCCAAGATCTGATTCCTGGGGATTTCAGCACCCATCCTTTTAACCCTGTGGGGCCTTGCCCATCCTGGCCCACCACTTGTCCCATACCTTATTGTCCTCCCCAATAGTCACTGTACCCTGAGTCTCTAAAGCAGGAACTGCAACCCCTGTATGATCTGAATTGTAAGCGTCCTGTTCTCAACACCTCCATATCAGAGACGGCTACTTGGCCACCAAAACTGTTATCCCATGTATAGTGTAGTTATCTCTGAGAAGTGGCTTCCCAGCCAGGGACACTTCCCAGCCCCCTTACTGTAGACCGTGAGACTAGTTCTTGCCAATGAAATGTGAGTGGAAATGATGGGAATCACTTTTTGGTCAAGACCTATATGCAGATGATCATGGGATCCTTATGAAAAAAAACCTGCATCCCTCATTCGCTGCTCAGAGAACTATCTGCTGAATAGGGACACTTGTTTTCAGTTCTTACACTAGTGAGAAAGAAACATCCATTATTTCTGCCATCTGTCTGGTTCATCTATTAGTCTATCCTAACTATTATATAATCTTTACTCCTTTAATCTCACTTCCTCTAATAGTTCAACATCAGCATTTTTGTTCGTTTGTTTTTTGTATTAGGGATTGAACTCAAGATCCCTTTACCTCTGAACTACATCCCTAGACCTTTATAAAAAATTTTTTTTGAGACAGGGTCTTGCTAAATTGCTGAGGCTGGCCTCAAACTCGTGATCCTTTTGCCTCAACCTCCCCAGTCTCTGGGATTATAGGTGCTCAGCAAACATCAGCAATTCTTCAGCACCACTGAGCTCTATGCTCCATTATCCTACCACCCTTTTGCTATCAGCACCCCTCTTGTGTTAATCACTTTTTTTCATGGCCATTATTTTTTTTTTCAAGTTTTTATTTGTTCTTTTTAGTTACATATGACAGTAGAATGTATTTTGACATTATACACACATGGAGTATAACTTCCCATTCTTGTGGTTGTTCCATGGCCATTATGATGCTGACTCTCTTGCATACTCACCCGAATCCCCGAATCCTCTTTCACCCCATTGCACCTACGTGGCAATACCCAACCCTGGTTAATTGAAGTTTCCAGCCAGGTGTGGTGGCACATGCTTGTAATCCCAGCACCTTAGGACGCTGAGGCAGGAGGATCATAAGTTCAAAGCCAGCCTCAGCAATTTAGTGAGGCTGTAAACAACCTAGTGAGACCCTCTCAAAATAAAAAATAAAAAGGGTTGGGATTGTGCCTCAGTGGTTAAGTGCTCCTGGGTTCAATACCTGGTTCCAAAGAAAGAAAGAAAGTTTCTTCCCACTCAGGGCCTGCAGAGTCACAGAGAGGTCTACGGGGGAAATGGGAACTATGAGACTTGCACTGCATGGCCATCACCAGGAAATGCTGCCTCCAAATAGCCTGGCAATTCTACTGACTTCCCCCTTTTACTCCATCTCCCATTTCTGGGTGACTAGCACATATCTTTTTAAAAAAATATTTATTTTTTAGGTGTAGATGGACACAATGCCTTTATTTTATTTACTTATTTTTATGTGGTGCTGAGGATCGAACCTAGGGCCTCACCCGTGCTAGGTAAGTGCTCTACCATTGAGCTACAATCCCAGCCCCAATTAGCACATACATGTTTCTTCTAAAACTTCTAGACCTTTTCCCTCCTCATTCTCAATTGATAATCTTACTAGTTTCTAAGACCCACCTACCTTCTTCTTTTTTTTTTTGTATCAGGAATTGAACCCAAGGGCACTTAACCACTGAGTCACATTCCCAGCCCTTTTTATTTATTATTTTGAAACAGGGTCTTAGTAAGAGCCTCACTAAATTGTTGAACCTGCGATCCTCCCAAGCTGCTGGGACTATAGGCATGCACCACAACGGCTGTCATATTTTTAACAACCACAAAGCACACTCCTGCTTCAGGGCCTTTGTTCCTGTTACCTCTGCATAGAAAATATTCCCCTTGAATCTCTGTTATGATGCTCAAGTATCACCTTATTTGTGAGGTCGTCATGGAGTATCCTTTTTGAAATAGGAAGCTTGCATGCTTCCTACCCCAGCACTTTCTATCCTCTTCCCTGTGTTATTTTTGGCATAGCATTTATCACCACCTGACATATTATATACTTTACTTGTTTATTTATTAATTGTCCAACTCCCTTTATTAGAATATACCCTCAATGAGGGCAGTTACTTTTGCTATTTTATTCATATCTGTAACTCTGGCACCTTAAACAGGGCCTGGCACATAAAAAGCACAAAAATAAATATTGTGGGAGGAAAAAGGAGGAAAGAAAGAAAGAAGGGAGGGAGGGTGGCAGAGAGAGGAGAGGGAGGAAGGAAGGAAACTTGCTCCCAGGGATGAGACTCAGCTTCCCAAACCTGAAAGTCACAGGACAGTTCACAGTGAAAGAGGGTTCAAGTCAGTTAGATCAATTATGCTGAAGTCAGCAGCTGGGCCCTCCCTCTTCTGTCTCACTGTCTCATGTTCTCTATGGCAAGGATGTAGTCTCTTCCCCAGCCCCTCACTAGTTTGGAAGTTCTCCTCTAGCCTTTGCCAAATTTTGTTCCCAGGACACCATGCCTAAGTACTGTACAGATAGACATAAATCAGTTACCAATGCCAGCTTCCTCCTGCCTATTCAGCCATGAAGAAGCCTTGCTTGACTAAAAGCTCATTGTTAGCCAGTTGCATTTTATTTTGGTGTTGCAAATTAATTTTTGTCTGCTCTATTTCCCATGTGTGCTCAAGGCATCCTCCCTTGGTCCCTGCCTGCTCTGAGTAAGATGAGGAGTTCAGAGGAAGACAGTCCTGGCACCTTGAAGGATCTTTGGATGAGTTTCAGGGACTCTGCAAACTCCCTGAACTCTTTTGATGTGTTTTCCCTGGGGTGAGAGGCCACATCTTTATTGGGGGTCCCTAGCTGTCCAAAGATTATGATGCAGATTTGTTCAACTTCTCAATTTGTAGATGGAGGCCTTGAGAAGTGAACTGACTCCCTTTAAGTAAAGGGATAGAGCTGGGATTTGAACCCAGGTCTTCTTTTTCCAAGCAGCAAATAGACACATGTACTTTGCACAGTGTCAAGGGTGTCCTTAATGCCTGTCACCTCTAGGATACCCCTGGGTTGAGCCACTGGCTGGTGGCAGAGGTCTGCAGTGTGTAGAGCTGCCATACAGAAATATGTGTGGCCAGGGATTGTCAGAGGCTATCTGCCCACAGTGTCCTGCTCTGCAGGCAGAAGCCAGAAGCCTGGTGAGACGAATGCCCACCCCCGGGGTTCCATAGAAGCCAGGAGAGAGAGTTGGGGAGCCAGCAGAAAGAAGAAGTAGGGGAAGTTCTCATATCTGAACTAGTTCTCATTCCCTCTGCCTGTGATATATTCTCTGGGCTTTTTAGGTTTTTCTGCCTAATTGCCTCAATTTAAGACATGAATAATAACTTCTGCTTCCCCTACTTCTTCTTTCTTTTTGTAGTGGGGATTGAACCCAGGGGCACTTAACCACTGAGCCATATCCTCAGCCCTTTTTAAAATAGTTTATTTAGAGACAGGATCTCACTGAGTTGCTTAGGGCCTCACGAAGTTGCTGAGGCTGGCTTGAACTCACTATCTTCCTGCCTCGGCCTCCTGAGCTGCTGTTCCCCCTACTTCTTCAAACGGACAAACTTGGCCAATTCTCTGTTCTTGAACAGCTTCTGAAAACCCAGTGTCTTCAGAATGCTATGAGGTGGAGAGCTTTCCAGCCTATATGGAGATGGAACTCTTGGCTTCCTCTCCTGACTTGGAAGTATGGATTCACATTTCGATTTATCTCTTCCAAGGCACTTTGGATTATCTTGGCAATCCTTTCAATTACCCTACTATATAAATGTTCATCAATCACCATTTCACAGACAAGAAATTGAAACTGAGTAGTTAATTGACTTGTCCAAGGTCACGGAGCTGCCAAAATGAGCGCTGGGAATGGAGCCCAGATCTTTGCCTCCAAGTTCAGAGTATCTTTTCTCCTACCTCTTCCTACCCTGGGAGTCCGTGGGCCTCTGGTTTGTGGTCCTTGCATCCTTTGCACTTAGGACTTTAAGATGCCGAACGCTGGGGTTTGAGCGGCTGTGTTAAATGTTTAATACAGCCCTGTGGCTGCTTCCGAAGATCACCACGCAGAAGGAAGGAATCTGGCTTCTACTCTCGGTCTCTGGTCTACACGTTCAACATGGTGTACACCTGTGCATGGGTCCCAAGGCCACCCAGGTGAGCCACAGAGACCTCAGCCAGGGGCAGTTGGGATTGGGGTGGGCAGTAGGGCATCCTGGGGTTACCTCCCAGCTCGAGAATGCCTCTTCACAGAGACTGTCATGGAGGGGAATCAAGTGCTTCTCCCAGAAAGGCTCCATGTCCATGGAGCTCCATCTCTGAAAGGCCAGGATTTCCCCCTGGGTGCAGTAGGGGTGTTGGGGTGGGTCCCAATGCTGTGGCACTGTCCATGGAGAGGCCAAGTGTCACTGTGTTGATCAATACTTAGCCTCCCAGTGGCCTCAGCTTTTCATTTCCCCTTCTCCCACTGCAGATAGCTGCCATCTCACCCTTCATTTCCTGCCCAACTGTCCACTAACACATCAGGTCCTCCCAGTTCCAGTGAAGACATTTTTTTAAAGGTAAAAATAAAAACATAATTTTTAGTCACTATAAATGCCCACAAACACTAATCACTGATTTCTCAGATAAAAAGCAGAAACCCAGCAGACACTTGAGCAGTAAGGAAGAATCCAAGGAGGCAGGTGGAGGCTCTGATGAGTGATCTGGCATCTTAAGTACCCATCCCATAAAACATCATAAAGTCACTAAGCTGGGCAAACACCTAAGGAGGTACAGTTGGGGAGGTAGGGAAATTTTTCCAAAATCCCAGCCTCCCAACCCTTGGCATCTGCCAGTACTTACCTTCCACAGTGGGCAGGAGCTGGGGAGTGGGACTGCCCACCCACTGTTTCAGGGAAGCCTCAGGCTGTTCAGTATCTGCAGGGCTGGCTTTTTCTACCTGCAGCTTGGAGCCTGAAGCCACCTCCAGAATTGTGGCTGCCTCCATGCTGGGCCACCCCAGGCTGGGCTCCAGCAGAAGATTTTCACTGTTGGTGGGAGGGAGGGGCTGTGCATCTGCTCCCTGGACTGGCCTCCTGGGTACCAGTCATAGGCTTATGTAAGTGGGCTGGCCTTTCCCTACCCACCTACTCACAGCAGAGGGTGAAGCTGGGGCTAGGGGAAGAGAGAAGGATCAGAGAGCAGCCCAGAATAGCCACAAGAGGAGGGCTGAGGTGGCCCTGTTATCTTGGGAGAGAGATGACACCCACATAGCTCTAGGGAGGGAGGGGGGAGCTTGAGCACAGACCATCCAAAAGGGACCTCTGGCTTCTGTTGGGAGGATTGGATGACATCTCAGCTTCTGACCTCCAGCTTATCCAACAGGGCTTCAGGCCCCAAGACCAGCTGACCCACAGGCACACCTTTAGCTGCTCGCACATTCAGTGAGTCCTGTAGTCTCATAACTCGCCCTTCACAGGACCCTCCCCATCCTCTCTACTTGATCCCTCTCTTTGCCCCAGCCCTGCCCCCAGAGCAGGGCAGTGCCCTGGTGGAGCCTGCACACGGCAGAGGCTACAGACCACTACCCAAAGACCCAGAGTCTAGCTGGGCTCTGTCACCAGCTAGCTGTGTGACTTGCCACACACCAGGTGCTAGGGGTGGAACCTAGGGTTTAGCATTTGCTAGGGAAGGGCTCTACCACTGATTTGCACCCCCAGCCCTGACAGTGTCTCTTAAGTCTATTTCTTCATCTGTAAAGTGGCTAAAGTAATAACTACAGGGTCGTTGTGTGGATTAAACGAGCTAATCTCTGTAAAGTGTTTAGCAGAATGTAGTTGACTAAGTGCTTGATAAATGGAAGCTATTTTAGGTCAGGCCAGTATTTTCTCCCTTTGAGAGTGTCAGTGGCTCCCTCCCTATGAGATAAAGCACAAATGAAGTGAGAGGCAGCAGGGCAGAGGGAGGAGAGCTCCTGGAGGAAGGGAGGTGTGACTTCTGGCTGTACCACTCTGTCACCAGCTGGTGGCTCAGAGCTGCAGGCCTATGAAACAAGAGTTACTGATGCCATGATCATATTGAGGACAAAATGATAAAATGCAGGAAAGTGGGCGCCCGTGATAGGTGTGGGTGATGCATTAAAGGCCCTGCCTGGTTTCTGGGCTCACCCACCTGCGGTTTTACATGTTGTATGTTCCATTCAGAATATCTGGTTTTCGATCATGTTCCTGCTTTCCTATCTCCAGAAGACAGCATTCCGTTTGTATTTAAAAACAAAAAACAAAACATTTTTAGAGTGGTTTTAGAATCATAGCAAAGTTGAGTGAAAGTACAGAGTTCCCATGTATCCCTCCCTTACCCCTATATTTTTTCCATGGGGAGAAAAATCATTGTGGTCGACTGAATAGGCTCCTTATTCATTTTAGCCTCCAACTAGGGGGCACCTGGTAGGATCCCAGGAACTCTTACCATCTTGGGGTGATAGGAGCCCAGTTTCTTTGAACTCTGGATAGTCTGTGGTTCAGAACAACCTATAGATGTGCTTTGGTGTCAGGAATGTGTTCATCAGGGGCTGGGATGGCTGAAGAGGGCAAGTGTGGAGGTTGACCTCTGGGTCTGGTTTGACTGGGAAAAGGTTAGACTTGTGTCATGTCAGAGAAGATCTAAAGGTCTCTGACCTTTTTCTCATCCATCCTAGCACAGACCCCTAGAAATTGTAATCTCCCAAACCAGGGAACCCACTTTTTATACCTCACTCAACCACATTTTGGTGAGGAAGCTGGAACAGCTTTCAGTCCTAACCTTTTGTAGCAATGAAGGTGTAAAGAATCAAATTTAAACTGCAGATTCCTGGGCTGGGGATGTAGCTCAGAGGTACAGTGCTTGCCTTGCATGTATAAGGCCCTGGGTTTAATCCTCATTATTGCAAAGATAAAATAAAATGCAGATTCCTTAGGTCTGCCCAGTAGAAATTCTTATCAGTCTGGGTAGAATCCAGGAATCTGCATTAAAAAAACAAAAACAGAAAACAAAACAAACAAAAACAAAACAAAACAAAAACACATTTTGGTGCAGTCTTAGCTCATTATGGTAGGATTCCTTAATCTATTCCAGATAATCTCATGAGCTAGAACTCTCTCACCAGAGGGTGGTCCCTTCAAGCACAGGGCTTTGCCCTGTCATCTCCAGACCAAGATGCTGGAGCAGTAATGGAAACACTGCTCTGGAATGGCAGGGTGGATGGCTAAGGGCTCAAGGTGAGCGGCAGGAACCCTCCTACAGGCAACATTTGCAAGACTGGGAGTCAGAGTAGCAAGTGAAACCTAAGGGGGGACCAAAAGCTATCAAAGTTCAATTTCCAGTGTTGTCATTTGTCAACTCTGCTACAAGGAACAGAAATTGGGAGAGCAACGATGTGTTGCTGTGTCCAGAAGCAAAGGAAACTAGAGAAGGTGTGTGGGTGGATCTGCCAGATTTCCTGAAGGTGAGAACAAGAGCGTTGGTCTCACAAACTCTGTAGGAGGTGGATCTTTTCGAGCATGAAAAACAAGAAAATGAAGGACAAGAAAGTTGGATAATTTTTAGCAGAAACAACTCACTTTTTGGGGGACTCATTTTCCCTATAAAGTATCTAATACCTTTCATAAATGCACAGTCCTAGCTCTTAATTTTTTTTTCTGGTAGCTGGAGTTGGGTTCTCAAAGCTAGAAAACTGGAAAAGCTATCCTATTAACAAACCATACTTTAGTCATCTCAGTAGATCAGGTAACAAAGTCCAGTCTGTTTTATTTCTAACCCAAATATTGCAAATATACATAAAATTACCAGTACAAAGTTAAACACATCCAGATTTATTTACACAATGATAAAGAAATTTCAGTTTTATTTCCATTTTGTGGAATTGCATTATGGGGTCTGGCTTTGCTGTGTAACTGACATGGGTCATTGAAACTTGATTATTCCACCTCACATGCAATTTTCTGTCCCAAAGGAACAGAAAACTTGGGTTTTTCAGCACACATGCAGTAATGATCTTAATACTGCTATACACTTTCATAGGATGGCTTGGGAAGGGACCACATGCTCAGAAAGGGAACAAGAGACCAGAGAGGGATGAACAGGCACATGGGGACCCTGAGCATTTCTGTGCACGAGGATAAGGAGAGAATGACCCAAACCCTCCTCCCTGGAGGCTCCAACACAGGAGGTGAGCAGAACCACCAGGGGACATAAAGTCACTTGACCACAATTGAGGGCATGCAGAAGATGAGAACTGCATTAAAGATTTGGGGCATATCAATAAATCATTAACATGTACACTATACAGTTTATACATGTATATATGTACACACACATATATATATAAAGGTACAGGTTAGTTTATGTTATTCCATATAAACAAGGACGCTTGAGAATGTAGTGGTGTGAAAAAAATGCATACAGCAAATTATTGAAGACAATTTCAAATTAATGCTCTAGTTCTTATTGTTATGCAACATAACCGAGAAATCTACATGCTCCTGCTATTTCAATTATCCCTCATGAGGGCAGGGCCTGGGCTCTGCAAGGGCAGGATGATGCTCCAGGAGCTGCCTGCACTAGACAAAATAATGGCAGATGGAACAGAAAGTCTGGCACCTGTGGACTCTGGCCCTCCCTGTCGCTACCTCGTATGGCAAATCTCAAACTTTGGTTTTTTCAAAGGACAGTTAAGTCCATGTTAACTTTCCTCCTGGAAGGAAGGTGGTAGAAAGCTGAAAAGTTGCATTCCTTCCTATTTTAACAGTTCCAAGTACCCTGGCTTAACGTGGAGATGAGAGGGCTGTGCTGACAAGGAGCTGGCGAGGTTTTAGCCTTGTGTAGAGGGCAGGGCCCTGCAGAGTGCTCCTAAAGAAAAGACAGGCACGCTCTATCAGGCTAGCTTGCCTAGGAAATAATCAAGTGCCTGAAGCCTGTTACCCTGGGACTAGTGTGGATGGCCCTCTGCCCCTCTCTGCATCCTGGTGTCTTGACACAGGCTATGGGATGTTTACAGGCCCAGTGCAGGAGACGGAGGGATGCACTGATCCCTGATGCTAACCTGTCAGGGATGAAAAAGCCCATTTGGGGGCATGCAGAGACCCATAGGAAAACCTAAATAAGAGAAAGTCTATTCAGGGGCAGGCAGCAACCACAGAGTTCAGTTATAGGGACTCAGCTGTAGTTCCTGAACCCACCCTTCAGCAGCCAAACTCTTCAAAGGCTTCTACTCTTCTGAGTAGTGTCCCTGATCAATTCACAGCTTAGGCATATTCAGTCCTGGTCTCTGGTCTTGGTAAAAACCAAAAGTTCCCTACATCTTGAGTAGGAAGGACATCGAGTTTTGGATTTAAGAGCTCAGATGACTTAAGACTGTCTGACATGTCCAACCTACCTAACAATGCTAGATTCTATGGTTCAAGCCTCCAGAAATAATTTCTTCTGCTACCATCAAGCCTAGGAGTTTACACAACAATATGCTAGGTTTTACCTTCAAGTAAAGGATGATGCTCCTAACCTGAGTAGGACAAATTAGCGTTTTTGTTTTTTAATTTTAGAAGCTATAATGGATTTAGACTGTTTTACTTTCTGGCCGAGGGCACATACTTGTGACTGAGTGGGCTGACACTCAAAGTGAACTGGCCAAAAAAGGCCAGGCTTGCAGACGGTCCTCTAGCCAACAGAGCCAGCCAGGCAGGGGTGGAAGCAGCAGGCAGGAGAAGGGGGCCTTCCACGAGACTCACTTCTGTTTTCCTCAGTAGTGACCCTTCACTAGAGGAGGGGTCTTTCCTGACACACATTCATGATTACCATTACTTTTGATTCTAGCCACAAAAAAACAGGAGAATAAACTTTTCTGTTTCCCAAAAAGAAAATAAAAAGGTGCTAAGTAATGCTCTGAAAGAAATGACACTGATCCCTGTCCTCAAGAACAGCAAGTAACCTATAAGAAAGAAGCCCATGTCAAGCACTCAGAACCTGCCAGCGTTGATGATTCTCCAGAGTTCTGAAGACAGCCGACCAGCGCTGCTCCTCACGCACAGGGACCCTGAACGACAGACTCAAGTTTGCTTCCTCACTCCACCACAAGAATGTGTGTGTGTGTGGGTGCTCTGAAAATTATCAAATTCTACAGAAATCCCGGGT